TTAGAGTTGGTGTTTGGAATAGGGTTAGTGTTAGTAAAACGGTTGCTTTGTTACGTTTTGTCACTGTGAGGCAAGCTAAATAAACCTCTTCCTCCTTTAAACTTGTGAACACAGCCGAAGCCGACACCATATTGTTTTGGTTATATTTCAACATTTTGTATTCGTATTTCCACAGCATGACGTCACTCCATTAAATACGATTTTTTCATATTCAAGCGAGTGACATCGCTCTGTTGAATATTATCTCAAAACTCCAAATTCGGTCGGCTTATTGAGTTGATATCACAGTTTCAAAGTTGCTGTTAGCCAGTCAGAAACAATGAATCTTTTCTCATTACTGTATTCCAATTCTTATCTCTCCAACGACAGGTTGCAGAAGCCTTACTCAAACACGAAGTCTTAACCTATGAAGACATCGAAGCACTCATTGGTCAACGCCCTTATCCTAATTCGCGTAAACAACAAACAATATCATAGTGGACGTATTGGTATGGAAAGTTTTGTATATAATATAAGAAAATTTCATAACATGTATAAAGTGTGTATACTTTGAGTCTAGGGTTACTGTCTTTCCCCCCTTTCCATTTGACAATAATTTTTCAAAACATGTTTTTATCATAGATATTTTATATACACTAGATAGCGCATCTCTTTTTGTAAAATTGAAGCCACGAATATTCCAGCGGTTACCCCCATTTGAATAGATGGCGGCCATGTTGAAGTTTCCCACTCGCTAATAAACGCTTGAAAAACAACAATAACTTTCATCATTTGAATAGTTTGAAAATGTATTTGGAATAGGTTTAACTTAATGTTTAAGTTCCCTGTTTAAGAAATAGAAAACATACGAGTCTTCTCATTAAATGGAAATATCCTGAATCTGCAATCACAACTTCAATTTTTGAATTGCAGAATAATTAGATGCACTATCTAAGATATCTATGGTTTTTATCCGTCCAAAGTAATTGTTTTGATGAAAGAAGTGGTTTTCAACAATTTTCAGAAAGTTTGGACGGGGTTAATTGAGGCATTTTTTAAATTTCTCAAAAATTTCCTTTGCCCCACCCCCCCTTGTTAACCATGGGGTTGCCTTGCCCTTTGTTAACCATAGGGTTCCAACAAGACTAATACAGGCTGTTCGTAACAAGTTGCTACGAGCTTGTTGTCATCAACTTGTTAACAACTTGTTACGTGCAGACGATATCAGACTTGTTGGAACAACTTGTTACGAGTCTGTTGGCCTCATCAACCTTGTTACAAGATGATAACAATATGTTCCAGACTTGTCAACAACTTGGATCAAGCATTGCGAACACATCTTGTTGACAAGCTGTGAGATTTTTACATACCTAATGTTTTCCAGGTACACACGCAAAAGTCTCACATCTTGTAGCAAGTCTGTCAACAAGTTGTGTTCGCACTGCTTGTCCCAAGTTGTCAACAAGTTTGGAACAAGCTGTTAACAACTTGGAACAACCTTGTTGATATTATCAGACTTGTTGCTAGGTTGTTCCAACAAGTCCGATACAGTCATGATATAACAATAT